GGGGGGTTAAGGCAGCTGACTGATGTGACCCCATTCACCTCGGGAGTGAGTAGGGATGATGCTGAAAGGGCTGTGACTTAAAGATCCTCAGATTTCCACTGAACTAGACAGGGTTTGCATTCAGTTCATAAGAAATTATTTCTAACCAAATAACACAATGAATCTGGTTTGAATCTGGACTAAGTCTCTTTCTTCCAGACTGCAATATGCTGTTGCTGTAAATGCCAGGCCTAGTCTTAACATCTGTGACATGAACATAAATCAAATCCATGTTTTATGCCATTTGTATTTTTTTCAGAAGTTTCTGTCTATATTTTGTTATTACCTGTTTTGGTAGACAAATTGGGAGATGTATCAATTTTGTTTTAAAGGAGGAAGAATACACATTAGTCTTCTAAATTCTAAATTTCAAAATATATCAACAGAAATAATTTTGGAAGTAGGCAAAACACAGCCTGTACTCACAGTCCAGAAATAATGAATATTCAAGGAAATAACAACATTTCAGACCAAATCTTCATTGTAATAAGAAAACTGATGGCTAACTCCTTCATACTTACCTGGCCAGAAACTGCATTTTCACAAACATATGTTTCATAATATTTAGCGAATTCTGGTGCGTGATCGTTAATATCGAGAACTTGGATATACACATTTGCTTCTGAAATTTTTTCAGGGTTTCCTAGTGATTTAAAATAGACAGAAATCAGAAGTTATAATCCATTATATATTTTTAAATAAATCTAGACCTTAGAAATTTTTTCTTATATTCTGCAGAGAAGAAAATAGTCACTGAGACCTACAGACACGTCTGATACTAAATCTTTTTAATGAGTGAGTTCAAGGGTATTTTCTTTCTTGTCTAGGGTTCTGCTTACAAAAGGTGGTGGGGTTTTGTTTATCTTTTTATTTTTTTCACCAATCCATCATGTTAAATTATAATAGTATATCTTGATAAATATAACAAATTTCATGTAAAATTTTTGATTTGTTCACTCTTTCTTTACCAAGTCAGAAATTGACTTGTATGTAAAAAAAATAAAATCTGATCTGGAGAAGTCAAATGAGGTTTTGTTCATGCAGAACAATTTACTGCACTAGTTATATGTAAGAGTATGTGGAAGGAGTTTGTCTGCTCCTATATGGGTTTCTAGTCAAGGACCTCATCCAATGTAACAGGAGTTAATAAGAAAAGGAAGAGGACATATACAAAAACATACAGGGGGAAAAAAACCCAAAGGGACAAATGATAAGAGAAGGAGTGATGAGAACCAAACCTAGTCAGACACACTGATCGATGACACTGATTGGGGGCATGTGGGAGTGTGAGAAAGTTTATTGCTGCAAGGTTATCAGATTGAGGACCTTGTCAATTGGGAAACTGAAGGAGAAAAAAGGGAAAACAGAAACAAAATATGCCAAGACACAGACCTGACAAATCAGGCATGGCAACAATGACAAGAAACAAACCTCACAATAATTGGGCTATGCAGAAACCACAGGGCAACAATTACAACTTTTTACAAGGACAGTAAGTGATAGGATGAAGGGTAACGGCTTTAAACTGGAAGAGGGTAGGTTTTATCTAGTTATTAAGAAGAAATTATTTACTGTGAAGGTAGTGAGACACTGAAACACATTGCCCAGGGAAGTTCTGGATGCTCCTTCCCTGGAAGTGTTCAAAGCCAAGTTGGATGGGGCTTTGAGCATCCTGGACTAATGGGAGGTGTCCCTGCCCATGGCAGGGTGGTTGGACTAGGTGATATTTAAGGTCCCTTGCAACCCAAACTATTCTATGATTCTATGATTCTAATACTATGTAGATCAACCTAGATTTTGCTACTGATCAGACTGTGAATTGGAGGGGCTCCAGACCAAGAGGGGCATGCGAATCAGTGGAACTGTACAGACCCATGAGGGCTGTGCAGGAAGGAACAAAGACAGGGCAGACAGAAAGGGGTATAAAAGGGGCCAGTTGCATGTAAAACAGGGCCAATAAGTACACTTGCCTGGATGAGCCCTGCACCTGGTTGTCAGTCAGTCCTATCATCATATATCTTCTTATGTAATCTTTTTTTACCTACTTGTCTGCATAATATCACTCTCTGCCATTGCATGTGCTGCAGGGACTAGGTGCCAGCTACTGGTGAGAGCTCCCTATGTGTAAGTCAAAACTGGTGACAGCTTCTGGAGTCAGGTGGGGGTGTGGGTGCCCCTGTCCCATAGTGCCAGCTACTGGAGCGAGTGAGGGGCAGAGGGGATGATTGCCTGTATCTTCCCCAGACTAGGTGTGCGTGAGGAGTGTGTGTGTTTTAGCTAGCAAACTTTAAACTGGACACAACATTGAGTAGGGGGTCTTTGGGTCCAGGCCAGGTGCTCAGGGAGGTCCATGCTGGTGTGCTCAGGAGGAACTTGTGAATGTAGGGTGCATGAGGAATGAGTATGTGAGTGCTGTGGGTTTGCCAGAGAGTGTCAAGCTGGATCAGAGGATAATAGGATAAGAGGACCTAGGATCCAGGCAGGGATGCTGGGTGGACAGAGGGTCTCTGCAGGTACTGAAAGGATCCACGGGTGTGCATGTACTTGTGAACCTGGACAGTAGCGTGTGTGTGTGTGTGTGTGCATGTGTGTGTGTGGTGTCAGCATGGCTTATGAGTCAATATGTAGGTGCTGCTGAAGACAGTGCCTTGTCTATGGCAGTTGGTCTATCACGTCAGTGTCCTCAGTGTCTCTGTGTGTGTGTGTGTGTGTGTGTGTGTGTGTGCGTGTGTGTCTCTAGGACACATGTTCAGCTATGCTATGGGTTGAGCCTGCAAACAGGTAAACATCATCCACATCACTGAGCCTGGGCAGAGGCCTCAGGTCCCTAGGAAACCAGCTGGGATCCAGCAGCCAAGCAGAAGGGTCCTGAGTGGCTGAAGGAAGTGGCTGTGCTTTCTTACTTCACTTAATATCAAAGATACCATAATAATTGGTCATAATTCTTTAGGAAATTCTGTTACTCTTCCTCTTCTGCAGTATTTTGAAGCTTTCAGAGAAAATTTCACCAAAATTTACATGCATTAAAAATAATTTTGCCACAGCTTGACAAGGAGTAATTGCAGTGGACCCTGATACCCAAGCAGGCAAGGCAGAAACCTGAGACTTTGAATTTGGAATAGAGCTGTTTTATTCACTGGTCCCTAAGCACGTATTTGAAAGAATTCTGATTTTGCTCAGGCACATCTAAGGCACTAATGCTGACAGACTTCATAGACTGAGCTTATAGCTTTGTTCCAAGAATTATTTGCACAACAGTTTTAATTCCTAGGCATTTTGTACTCACAGTAGCTGTACTGGTTCTGTAATACAAGTATAATTTATTATTGTTTATACCTAAAACCACTTTATTACTGTGGCTTTAGATATAAAAGCTATGTCAGTATGGCTTATTCCCATATGAACAAAAAAATAAACTCTGCTAAAATAAGGCACTTTTTCCTCAGACAAGGAAAAACCAGACCTAGCTATAATAGTACGTGGTACAAAAGTTGTGTGTATGCTAGGCTGAAAATACTATGTGTTTACATAATAAAAATTTGTATGTCACCTGAAACCAGGAAGGAAGATCTGCAGGTACAGCATTCTTCTGAAGAAACTGGCTGCTCATGGTTAGGACGGGCATGATCTTCGCTAGGTCAAAAACTGTCTGGATGGCTGGGCCAGAGTTGTGGTGAATGAAGTTAAATCCAGTTGGAGGCCAGTCACAAGCGATGTTCCCCAGGGCTCAGTACTGAGGCCAGTTCTGTGAAATATCTTTATCAGCAATCTACATGTGGGGATCGAGTGCAACCTCAGTATGTTTGCAGACAACACCAACTTGGGTGGGAGTGTTGATCTGCTTGAGGGAAGGAAGGCTCTACAGAGGGATCTGGACAGGCTGGATCAATGGGCTGAGCCAATTGTACAAGATTCAACAATGCCGAGTGTCGGTTCCTGCATTTGGGTCAAAACAGTCCCATGCGACACTACAGGCTTGGGGAGGAGTGGCTGGAATGGTGCCTGTCTGGAAAGGGCCTTGAGCATGGTAATAGGCAGCCAGATGATTACGAACGAGCAGGGTGCCCTCGTGGTCAAGGTGGCCAATAACATCCTGGCTTGTATCTGAAACAGTGTGGCCAGCAGAACTAGGGAAGTGATTGTCCCCCTGTACTCGACAATGGTGAGGCTGCACCTTGGATACTGTGTTTAGTTTTTGGGCCCTCACTGCAAAAAAGACTTTAGTGTCTGGAGTGTGTCCAAAGAAGAGTTACAAAGCTTGTGAAGGGTCTAGAGCACAAGTCTTATGAGGGGCTTCTGAGAGAACTGAGATTATTTAGCCTGGAGAAAAGGAGGCTCAGTGGGGACCTTGTTGCTCTCTACAACTACCCGAAAGGAGATTGTAGCAAGGTGAGTGTCAGTCTCTTCTCCCAAGTAACAAGCAATAGGAGAAAAGGAAATTGCCCCAAGTTTTAGGTTTTTTAGGGGAGGTTTAGCTTGGATATTAGGTGTTTATTTTTTTTTTCACCAAGAGGTTTGTCAAGCACTGGAACAGCCTGCCTAGGGAAGTGATGGAGTTACTATCCCTGGGTTTATTTAAAATACATGTAGATGTGGCATTTAGGGACATGATTCCAGATGGTGGACTTGGCAGTATTAGGTTTACAGTTGGACTTGATGACCTTAAAGTTCTTTTCCAATCTAGAGGATTCTATGATTCTATACTGAATACCTCTTGGAAGTCCTTTGCCTATCAGCACTTTGAATCCTCACTTACATGGCGTAGCTATGAGAAATGGCTGCCTTCCGTACAAATTAACTTATTACACTAGCAAGCAAGAAGTTTTATTGACACAGGAATGTTCACATTAACTTGGATGTCTTGGTGCATAAGAACCCTAATGAATACATTTTTCCAGTGAACAAACTAATCTTAAGACATTCCAGGAATATTAAATACCTATCAACCTAAATATCTATCAAAATCTTAATCTGGTCTGTCCAAAACAGAAGTATGTCACTCACAAGAATAATGATTATACTTAAAATAGGCCTGATGAGTGCTAGCCCTGTTCAAAACCCTTAAGGTATTTTCTTAAATTATTCAAATAGACCTTTAATTGAAAAACAAAATGGACTCCTTTCTGCCTCACTTCAAACTGTATGAGCTTAGTTGGTTCTTATATTGTTTTTTTAATGTATAATTCACTAGTTGCTTGCAGCAAACATTTGTTTTCTTGGATCTTATGGAATCTGTGCTGATAGCTTTGAGTCTTTTGCCAAAGGAAATGGCAGCAAAAGCAACTACCACAGAGATAAAGGGCTAGATACTCAGCAGTTTCATATTGTTATTCCTCTTGTGCAATCATTAGAGCAGTGCTAATTTACCAAAGCTTATGATCTGTCAGAGTAATCTCAAAATTACTTCTTTGTGGAATGACATTTTTCATGTTAAATCTCAACATCTATAAAAATAAGATACGCAATGAAACAGTACTGTGCTTCTTTTTAAAATAAACATAAAAATTTGCACATACCACTTTTAGAAATAATACTGAAAGTGTAGGAAATAGTTGACCTTAAGTCAGAACCGAATGTGTAGAGCAGAGATTTGACTGGATTGACACTGAAAAGAAAACTTTGCAACATTTATTAGTAGGACCCAGAATCCTTGGCCAATGCCTAACTTGCTTGTTTGTAGAGGCCTGGGCCATAGAAACACTGTAACTGCCTCAGTTGATCAAAATGGGACAAGGAACAAAGAGGATAGTAAAAATCTGGGTGAGAATATGTGATGGGAGGCATGCAGCTGTGATATGGAAGCGACCTTGAGCACTTGAAAATAGAAACTTGGCAGAGGAGTAAAGAAGATAAAGAAGACACTAAACACATCAAAATAGACTGAAGACGGAGAAATTTTAACCAATCATATATTAGCTTAGCCGGGGTGAGTAGTGCGTGCAGCCAATTAGGAGTCAGATACACACATGCATAGAGTGCTGGAAAAATATAAAAATCATGCTTTGTATGTAATAAATTGGCTATCAGAGCATCATATTGGTGTGCTGTAGTCCGTTTCCTCGCATGGACCCCAACACTTGTTCATATGATTCCTGGATACTATATTGGCTTTAAAACCTATCCTTTGCTTGTACAAACATTCAGATAGCACCTTTCAGGCTAGACCTCCTATTCACATCTGTTTTCTTTCACTGAATAGCTCTTCTTTTTTTGATATATTTTTGGTAACAGTCTTGTTTCTACTTCCTCACTATATTTGGGTTGTTATGTTGTGGTTGTTTTGCTTTTTCTTTTTCCTCAGTACATAGTCAAATGACAAGGAAGAGCATTTCTCACGTTGCTGTTGGAAGAAAACAGTATGGAATTTTTTATTATTCTGAAATTGCTTTTTTTTTTTTTGAGAGGGATTATTACATTACAAGCAAATCTTGTAATAAGAGTCTGATAAATATTTAATTAAGATTTTGAGTGAAGCAGAGTGACTCTTTTGGTTCCAGTTTGGGAAGTTGGTAGGCAGGACTTATTTTGTCTTTTATCCTTTACATGGGAAAATGGTTGTCAGAATTTGAGTACAGCTATTGAACTCATATCCTACATTTGGCTAAAGATCTTTCAATGAGCAGAAAATCTATCGTGATCTCCATAAGTTTGCTTATGACTGATAGTGCACTTTTCCAATGGATGTATAGAGAAATGAGAATCAAAGTAAGCTCAAACCAGTTGCGATCATTGCGAATTTTTGTTAATCATTGTAAGGGTATACAGTTCAATAGAGAGAAAGCTAAAGCAGATATTCCTTTTCTAAAGTAATTAATTGTCAGTCACTCTTCATCTGACTTAGTAAATCAGTGTTAAGTAAAGCTCATGACTTAAGAATTTATTGCTCTCATGCATGACTAGAATGCTACTGTTCATGCTTCAACCTTGTACTAGGTAGAAGCTGATTGCAGTCAAGTAAAAATTGATCAAAGGAAACTTGATTTATTTTGATCTAGAACCATCTTAGCCATAAAGAGGAATCAAAGGGACAACAGATTTGAGGTTCTGTCTGCTTGTGTTTAATGTCCAATGAAATAGATCTAATTCCGGATGTCTTTAAAACATGATATCTCAGTGACATGAGGATAGGATGATTCACACAACAAGTCTGCAACAAAAGCACACTCCTCTTACTAATGTCTGATCTCTGTCATTGCAATGGAGGCAAAAGGCTTGTGTCCTTTATGGATGTCAGGACCTCAGTAGGACCCTAGGGAAGTTGCCGTTGTAATACAGTTTCAATAGCTGTCTCATCTGCAATGGATATCTTGTGTGGATGAACTCTAATGGCATTTTGATTTGGCTTTGGTGGAGCCACAATGTCATCCACCAAATGTTGCATACACACACCGTATGCTAAAACTATATTTCAAGGAATAAAATGCTACTAGTTCATAATATAAATCATTTCAGGTATGCCCAGACCAAGGTGACCTAACTTCAGTGGTTTTGAAAACAGTGTTATAGACAGTGACCTTATCATCATTAGAGAAATAGATAATAAGAATATGGAGATAATGAAGGCCTGGTTTCTCCACAATAACTTTCATTACTGTGAAAGACATGCTTTCTTTTGCTGCAGGAAACACTTACTCATTTGTAACATTTGGTTCTTCTTTATTTTATTATTTAGCTAAACAGAAAAGTCCAGACCAAAGTCATCCTGCTGTGTTTACGTAGTGCTATTCAATACATGACAAAAATATGCCAGAGATCAATTTTACTAACACCTGCCAGCTGCCCAAAAACATTAGAAGTAAAATACATTAATGCTTAAAAACTCACAGAGAAGCTGAAAAGGAACAAAATACTATCAATTCCCAAACATAAAATAAAAACTTCAATGAAAACAGCTACTGACTATCCTATATTAAACCTTTAGCAGTAATATTCTACATATATACAAGGAGTGCTCTTTTTAGGGACAGTGCAATTTAGGAATATGTGTTTAAATCAGTCTTAGTAATAAATAGCTTTTAACTGAGATTCATGATTAAAAAAACTTGTTAAAAGTGTTAAGCAAAACATGTCTGATCTATTGATCTCTAGTTTTGTATGTTTTTTATCCTTCCTGAGGATAGATGTGATTATTTTTTAAATGATAACCCAATAATCTCATTAAACTGCCTTATAAATCAGTTGCTGTTAATTTTCTGCAGTGTTGTCACAGATTAAGGCAACTAGATCACCGAAAGTACAAACAGAGGCAATTTAAATTTGACTTTCAAACCAAACTGAGAGGTGAAATCTAAAGGATGCTTCACGGTTTTAACTATCACTGAAGAAAAGTCTAGCAGATTTAGGCCCTACATTCACAATTAATGAGCCACAGGTTTCTGACTGGTGTCAAATTAGACCCTAGCTAATTTCACACTAGTCAAAAATCTGGTGTGAAATTAACCAGAGTCTAATTTAACATAAGATCTTCCACTGCAGGAGCAATTCATAAGCTTCACTGTAACTTGAACATGTCACAGTCTCGATTCTATTATAATTTCCTTTATTTTTTTATAAGGTCATCTTTTATGAAAGAGCACAGGACCTTGGAGCTCAAATACATTCTACTTCTATTTAACTAATCATTTTAATAATGCTCCTTAATGTAGCAAGCAACAGTAATATAATGAGAAAGAAGCATGTATTCTCCACTTAAAAGAAGGCATATTCACAGGATAATCACAGTTTCAAGTACATAAAACACAGCGTTCCTTAAATTTCTTACTCACTTGTTTCTGTGGCTGTAACTGTTATGTTGTGCCAAGAAGCTATCTCTCGGTCCAGAGGTTGAGTTGTAATGATTGTTCCATTGTGTTCATTGATGCTGAACAATCTCATTAAATGCATGCCATGGACAATAGAGTACCTGCACCAAAAAAAAAAACAAAACCAAAAAAAAAACGGAGATTCCTTAATACTGAAAAGTTCCAGAACTGTGCATATATACATATAAATGCGTGCAGCAACAACTCACAAATCATGAAAAATGTACACTTAATAAACATTTAAGATTCACTGCTGCCAAGATCAAAGCTCTTCTTTTTATTAAACTAAATGTGTCTCAGAACTATATTAATGTGAACTGAATCTAAAATGCATTATTCATTCTTACTTCTAAGTCAGGCTCACAGCAGGTGAATGACTTCGTTGAAAAGAAACAGCAGAAGTGCCACTTGTGAAATGAATAACACTAACAGCTGAGTGGAGGTAAAATGGCAAATCTATTTTATCATTGCTGACATGCTCTGATGCCAAGGGAAGAAGGGGCATTATAAACAAAGACAGACAACTATCTGTAATGAGGTGTCACCTAGGTAGGTTACAAAATCCTAATGCAGGAGGTGATTGTAAACAAGTCCAGTGTTCCTGAGTCTTCATTTAAAAAGCTCTGGGTGCTATGTCTGTGTGCAGACATGCACATGCTCACATACATACATACCATTCAAATTGTTAAAAGTCTAACCACTGGTCACAGGCCAGAGATGGACTGAAAAAAACACCAGAGATATGGGTTCAAATGGAAAGGATATTTACAAATATTTTTCATGACATGTCACAGTTCCTAGTAGAGTCTATTTCATGGAAAAAACCTGTCTGAAGAGGTGAAAGGTTCTTACTATTCCAGTTTGGAATTCCCACATGCAATTATTCCCTCTTTTATTGTACCTTTAAGTGTGCTTGACAAAGTCTTTTTGCCTCCTGCTGGCACTTAGGACTCCAAGCTCAGATTATCCACCGGTTGGATGACTCTGTAACTTGTTATTTATAGTTACATTTTGTCTGTTTTGAAAATCAGTAAGATGATAAGAAGCAGCACAACACAGTCAGTGAAAGTTTTTATCATTTGAGCCAAAGATGTAACATTTATAAATCTCTATTTTAGGTATATACAATTAAATTTGGTTTTTTAATGTGAGTATTCCTCATCATTGGCATCCAAATCTTGTTTAAGGTTTTCTGATATTGGTGTTCTATTTTGTTTGAGGTTTTTTTTGGTAATATGAGTCTTGATAGATAATTCTCATAAAATCTACATTGCATAATTTTTAATTATTTTTTATTATTAGTACAGTGAGGTTTTGTTTCATGTCACTGTTTACTTTGTTTATATGAAACCTGCAACACAGCTGTTTTTCTATATTATAAGCAACTGCTGTCATTTATGATAGCAGTGGTTTCAAAATTATTTCATATGCATGGCACTCAGCCCAATAAACATATCCTTACATTAGAAGTTACATGTTCTATTTTAAAGAAACTCAGTGATGCAATAGACATTGAAACAATTAAGACATTGAAACAATCTCCCAGAGGAAGTGGTAAATTCTCCTACATTGGTCAGTTTTAAGAGTCAGCTTAACAGGGTGCTGACTCATCTCATTTAAACTATACTTTTACCTTGAGAGGTTGGACTAGATGTGCGTGCGTGTGTGTGTGAATATGTGCGTCACAGCTTTGGGACTACATAGACATATTCACTTTGTAGCAAGTTCCATCAAAATATTTCAAACTAAGTAATCATAGATACGCATTCTGTTTAAATGTTTCACAGGAGATACTGCAGTTATCAAAATGAAAAACAAAAGAGTCTTAAAAAAAAAAGAAGTACATTTTCTTTATTCTAATTTAATTATCAGAGTAAAGGAATGCAAAATAATAGAAAATTACCTTGCATTGACTAGATCTCTCTCTCTTTATATATATGCATTTCTGCGAAGTTAATGTACAAAGTATAAGTTTTTTTTTCTCATCCATTTGTCCCTGTATCCTAGCTTGCCTAAATTGTACAGTACACAATGACATCAAGTAACTCAAGAAGCTATTTTAACTATAAACCCCCTCTTAAAGAATACTTACCTATTTTTTCCCTTAAGAAACAGCAACATTATTTTGCAACATTAAAAGCCCAGGAGACTTTTTATATAATATCTCTATGGGGCAATTGTGGTAGGTGTAGCTCCTTAGTAAATTTTCAGTCATGCTGGGCTGAGCAGATGCCAGTGGAGCTGTTCTCTGTCTCCCACCCAGCAATAAGTCCTTTACTTCATATCTCCAGAAGTTATTTGGAACAGACTGGAACACCTCCACGCACTTTCTGGTTTGGCTGCGGTATCCTAGCTCTGCTATTATGCTCAGCCTTTTTCAGGAGGCTGTTTAAAATATTTCACCATCTCAAAGTGATTGAAAAGAACCACAAATATAGCTAATTTATTTATATTTTGGGCTGTGGGGCAGGATTTAACCTAGTGTACTGGTTCTGGCTGGAATAAAGTTAATTTTCTTCATAGTAGTTAGTATGGGGATATGTTTTGGATTTGTGCTGAAAACACAGTTGATAAGACAGCGTTGTTTTAGTTACTGCTGAGCAGTGCTTCCACAGAGTCAAGGCCTCTTCTTCTTCTCGCATCACCCCACCAACAAGTAGGCTGGGGATGCACCAGAAGTTAGGAGAGGACAAAGCTGGGACAGCTGACCCCAACTGATCCAAGAGATGCTCCGTACCACATGATATCATGCTCAGCAATAAAACTGGGAAGAGGTGGAAGTTGGCCTGAGCTGCCACAGCTCAAGGACTGCCTCTGTATTGGCCAACTGGTGGTGAGCAATTGTTTGGGATTTACAGAATTTGTTTTTCTTGGGGTTTTTGTCCCCCCCTTCATTTCTTTTCTTCTTCTTCTTCTTCTTTTTATTTAAATATTTAAATTTTATTTTTATTTTTATTTTTAAACTGTCATGGGTGTAAACCCATGAGTTTTTGCACTTTTGTCCTTCTGATTACTCCTGCATCCCACTGGCTGGGGGAGGGAGCGAGCAGCTGTGTGGTCCTTAACTACCTACCAGGCCTAAAACACAACACCTGGACACAAGATAACGAACAAAAATAGCCTTTAGAAAGCACAAATATGTTTGAAGCTTGTTCACATTTTAAGTTAGGTACCTGACTGGGCAGTCATCTTTGTCTGGATCTTTAGCAGTTACAATGCCCACCAGTGAGCCACTCACAGCCGCTTCAGCAATCTCCATCACATAGTTTTCCAAGGTGAAAACTGGAGGTTCATCAGCATCTTCCACATTGATTTTGACAATGGTTTTGTCTTCAAATGTCTCTTCCTTCAGAAACCGGTCATCAATGTACCTATTTACAGCTTTTGCTAGAATACTGTATCTCCTTCTGCTCTCATAATCCACTCTCTGTTAAGAAAGAGAGAGATGTAGAATATTTCTTTCTCCACATTTAAAATGAATATAGTCCAATGACTGGTATGAGATTAAAGGCAAAATAGTGCAAACCTTCTTTTGGGAATGTTTCAAAAGTAGTTACATCTAACATCTCTTTTTTGATGTTAAAAACACTTTAAACTTAAAATGTGCTATACCATTGTTTGCTTTCACACGTAGACTGGCTTTAATGTTAAAAAATAGTTAAAAGATAATGTAGAGGAACTCTTCCCATAGAATTAAACAATAGTTAAACAATACTGTAAAAGAAGTCTTCCAGTAGAATGTCAGTCCTAAGGAAAACAAATTCTTCTATTAGTAGTTGTAGTTCCAACATAGGTATAACCTTAGTGAACACTGTTCTTTACCCCTGCATAAAATATGCAAATCTGCTCATCTATAGGGGTTGATTTTGCTGAAATTTTGCCTCTAAAGGAAATAAATTCCAGAAGGCAACAATAAACATTTAATAAGCACATAGTTTTATCACTATCTTAAATATTAGTTATCTTCTGTGATTAAAAAAAGAAATACTAAATAGGTACCTTCTTGAATTGTAATAAATCCAAATAGAAAAACAAAGCAAAACGAAAAAACCACAGCAAACCAACAAATAACCCCAAATTTATAGCATTCATTTCTTCAGGCTCCTGGATTTCACTAGACTAGCAAACTCTGTCATCACCTCAGATGACGACCCAGAAATCTTCCTATGGGATTCCAAAATAAATCATACAGTATTAAAGCCCCTTAAATATTGTAATTCATAAACTGGTATCTTATTGAGTCTAGTTAGTGTCTTTTCAAAGCTATGTCATAACAAAAACTCCACTACCTATTTAATACTGTAATACATTCTGACTTCAGGTAAGTTTAACAGGAGGTGTTGGAAGAGAGGGAATATTGTGTACAATTTATTGATAAAGATTTTACAGATGATGCGCAGAAAAGAGAGAACATTTTCTCACAATGGGATACACTGTGATGCTCATCTAGGAATAACACTACTATACGTTGACTGTCAGTATTGTATTCAGTCAAGAAGTAAACAGAAAGAAAAGCAAGTTCCTTCTTATCCCCTTAATATCTCAATCAAATTTAAAAAGCCTGAACAAAGGAAAAAAATAGTAGAATCCTAAGCAATAGGTCTTTTTTAAACACCCATTGTTTGAGGAGATTCTTTCAAGTATTTAAAGATTTTTAAGAAAGTTTCTGAGAACTCACCTTTTTTAATAAGATAATTCCTTCTTGCGTCTCATTGCTAGTAATAATGTCAAAAACATCAGAGCTATCTTCTTCAATGAAATAGTTCATGGCTGCGTTCTCGCCTATGTCGCTATCTTCGGCGAAGACTTTGCCTACAGTAGTGCCCACAGGAGCCTCTTCAGAGACGCTCATATAGTAGAGTCCTAAAGAAAAAAATATTATGGTTAATAGCTGTTGTAGCTATGGTGGCCTGAGGCTCTCAGAAAGTTGGACAAAGCCCCCAGCTTTCATGAGAACAATTGATCTAATCTAGTAATGGCTAGATCTTGGGGACAGGTGATGACAACCTTTCTACTCCAGAGTCCTCCTCTCTCAGTCCCACTTTAGCAGTAAATTGAGAGCTAAGGAGAACCAATGGAGTGAAAAAACAGTGGAGGGGAGCACTTCCCAACTGTTTCACTGGTTCCTCCTGACAGCCCAGTTAGCAGTCTCCAAGTCTGCTAGACACTCCCTGGACAGAGAAGGTCATTATATGCCAAAATGTTTACAGTGTCTGTCAGCAACAAATGAAGAAAGGGGAAAGAGAAAGATGAGTGGAAATGGTACTAAATATTCTATTGCACAGGTTTTAGGCTTAGCTAGGGCAAACTCTATGGAAGGCTGTTTAGTAGTCATTTGTCTGCAAAGCCTAGTGATAAAATCAGCAGGTCTGAGGTCTTTTGTATTGATCCATTTTCCTCTTTGTTTATGAGCTTTTGTGGGGGATTTTTAAAAAATTTTTATTTAAAACTGTATGTTGGAATTAAAGCACAGACCTGTTCTGAAAAAACCTACCAGTGAAGTTAATAGAGCTACAGTAGATCTAAATTTCCTCTAGACTTTATCTACTGTAAGTAGCCTATACTCACGCTGTTGAAATTTAGGTGGATTGTCATTGATGTCAGAAAGGTTGATGGTAACAGTGGCTGTTGCTGAAAATGCCCCTGCTTGCCCAACCATATCTTTGGCTTGGATGATGACCAGATACTGATCTTTTGTTTCTCTATCCATGTGGGAAGCCATTCTGATGACCCCTAAAATGAAAAGTAGAATATATAACATATAATAGTCCCAATTTTTCCCAACATTTAACCATATAATATGGTCATAAAATTAATCATTGGACACTTTTAGTAATTTACATTCTAGACCGTGCACAGCACAGAAGTTCTGATACTGGGAATTAGTACTCATTACAACATCTGTGCTGTAGGACAGATCAATTCTGCATACTTAGAGTCCTAGGGAACACAACACACCATATATCTTCTCTACCATATATAACCTTCTTCCCCAGAAATCAGGATTTTAGAGGGATGTCATGTATCTGTGGTTTCTTCAACACAGAGATAGGAATGTCACATAATGAGTCATAGAGATGATAACCCAGAAGTGTTCCTAGGTGCATTTTTTGGGTGGGGTAGTCAGAATCCAACTCTTTTCTTTAGCAAGATAATTTGCTAAAGGAATTGTTGATTCTCTAGAGAGAAAGGATTCCACCTTCCTATGGGAAAGAAAAAAAAGGGATTTTTTTTTTACATCTAGGAACTATGCAAAGATGTAAAAGACTAGGGCCATATCAGCCAATCTTTGTGTTGAAATGAAGAAAAGCATTTTTGCTTGTATCCATTTTATGTTGGTTTATGAATATATTCCAATTACAAGATCAGTTGTAGTACCTGTCTTTGGCTCCACAGAGAAATAAGGCTGTCCCTGAATAAGACTGTAAAGCAGACGGGCGCTATTCCCATAAGAAGGATCATCACCATCTGTAGCTGTTACCTGTGTAACGGAAGTACCTTAAGGAAAAAATGAAATAGATTATTTTTTTTCTTCTTATATAAATTATCTTGCAATTATAAAACACAAACTCTTTAAAAACCTTTTAAATTATCAGTTACATTAGCAAACAGCCCTGAAAATTTACAGAAACAAGTGGCACCTTGTAAAAGTTATCATTAAAAAGGAAAAATATTTCCTGATCAACTGTTTTTGTTGCATTCAGATTTTCAATAAAAATAAATAGTGTATGAATTTTCAGCGTTATGTTTATGTTGCTCAAAATACTACATATTTTATGCCTTTTGCCCTAATTTCTGATATGTGAATGGAGTACAGCAAATTGTTTCTCCTTCTCTTGTATATTCTTCAAAGTATTTTATGGAAGTTTACCATGAGAATAAGAAAACACAGCCACTTTATCACCAGTAGGTCCACTGATGATAAAGAAATTAATTGTTAGCAAGCAGAGCAGCCAAGAAGGAAAAAAAGGATCTGATAACATTTTTTATCCTTGAATTTTTAATGAACCTGTCCCAGTGCAAGAGTCATGGCAGAATCCTCAGTGCAAAAGATACAGCAGTCGATCTGCAGAGCTTGGTTTCATCTCTGGCTGGAAGTTGGCTATATCCTAAATACAAGATTGACAGCAATTTTATGGCACCATCAGTGATGATTGTCCTTTAAAAGAAAATATTCACAGTAGCATATTTTTGTCTTTTTTCTCCACCTAGGTTCTTCATAAGAATACAAATATCACTTATGAAGAACAGCAGGAAATCAAGCCACTTTCTAAAACTTCCTGGCATACATTCATGTGGTTGCACCTGCTTACCAATACAGCTGCATAGTTAAGCTGGAGGAGAAAAGACGACACTATGGAGTGCAAGAAGTTAGACTAGAAACATCTTTTTATGGCAAACTCATAGTTCATATTTTTTATAGATTATAGAAATATATTAATTTCTGAGTTTTCTAGCTGTTCAATAGTTGGTTTTTTTTAAATAGAAATAAAGAAGACTTTCTCATACAAGTTTGTGTTGAATTAAATATTTTGATTATATATTTATTTACTTATTTTAAATTTTCTCTCAATGTATTCAGCAGCACTCCAATAAATTCTATAATGCATGTTATTGTCTCTCAGAGTGGAGGTACACTAAAATGTTTTTAAGTGCCACCATCTTATGGAGTTAGATGTCCTTCAAAACACACTTGCAATACCAAACTTCTGACATTTAGGTGTGTGTTAGGTGTATGTATAGATGCATACATATATGTACTGCTCCTTATCACTCTGAATAAATTTAAAGATAAAATTACAAATTAGTATTTAATCAGGGCACATATATACTTCTGAAATAAAAATATTCTTTTATAAAACTGAAGGGTAAAGGAAATCCTCAGCTACACAACTGTTAACTTTATATCAGCTATTGTCTATAGAAGCTGTTCTAACTAATACAGGAAATTCATCCTCTAAGACAATTTAGAATGACGAGAACACAGTTGGTTTGAAAACAAAAATGGGGTGCTAGTCAGGAAAAGATCGAGAACTATGGGTAATCCAATGCATAGAGTCGTTATAAATGCTGTATTCTACTAAATAGACCCAAGTGCCCACAACTACATTTAGAAATGGACTTGTTTAGAGCACTATATTTAATAAATCAGGGATAAAATCCAACAAATATAGGCTTGCAAAGTTGTAGTTTCTTTTTTTTTTTTGCATCTCACTCACATAAAGGTAGATTTATTTTCTATACAGATTCTAACCTTTAGAAAGAATCTAAAACAGCAGTTGCTGCTTCTCTAAGCCCCAGCCTACTTTTGTGCTTGCTTGTTGACTCTCCCAGTCTAACAGAAGGCAGAAGCAAGGAATTTGCCCAGCTGGGCTCAGTGAGATGCAACTGGTGGATATAATCAAAAAGTGCGCAGGCAAGGGGCATCTGGTAAAGAGGGAGCCAATTTGGAGGGAAGCAATGACAGACCTCCTGCACTCTCAGAAAGAAGACTATTTTTAAGCCAGGGTGTCAGGAGGACATGCAAAGAGAGAACTCACATTCTGGTTTAGGACAAAGATTTCATGGTCACTATGTAAACCTCTACATTTGATCTAGACTATGTAATAAGCAGAAGAAAAATGTTATCCTGGGCTTAGAATACTTTTTCTGGTTTTGTTTGTGTTTTTTTTTTCTGCCATGAAGCCTATATTTCCTTATACATTTAACGTGCAGCAAACAAAGCAATTCATTTACTGAATGGAATCATATTTACCTAGACGCTTTTGTCTGAGTGACAGAAATTACAATATTAGTAATATGTACTTAAAAACTCCAAAAAGCTCTTCCTGGGCAAAACATAGCAATGCCACGTTTATATTGCAGCCCATTAGGTAAACTGTAGGGCCTTCATATGGCAAATAGTTTCTCATATTTCTAACTAGGGCTTGAAATCTATAAAAACATAAAGTACTGATACATTATTGCATCTGAATCTTAACCCTTCTATCAGATATACTGCATTTGCAAAGGTGTAATAGCTATATGAAAGACAATGTTAAATTATACCAAATGCCTGAAGGAAAACCATAGTCCTATGCTCTCAGAAGAAAGTCCATTTGCTGACACACTTTTCATTTACAGTGACCTTTGCTTATAAAATCCTAATAAAATTTAGTACTTAAGATGAAAGAGAGCTAAGAAAGAAGCAAAATATATTCTAATTTGTTGGCACATTAGTGTGTAGATAGGTAGATAGATATTTATACCTGACTTCAGGAAAAATTATTTGTGCCTATTTTCTGTTTTTCTATGGTTCTCTGAGGCAAGCAGCTGGCTGTGAATAATTCTATCCTTGCTTTCTTAGTTCCAGACAAAATGTTCACTAACAATTAACTGCTTTCTTAAGTATTGTTTATGCTTCCTGAGCATGTTTTCTATGCGGAAATTACTAGTAGATCCCAGGTCTAGCATCAGAGAGCTGAACTGCTGCTAGACACTCTTACAACAAAACAAAGCCCAGAGCTATATTGCACTGTATAATTTAAACTAAATCTGGCCTGCCTCTCTTGCTGTGCAGGAGGTTGTTCTTTTTACTAGGAGAAAAGCACTGATATAGTGAACTACTATTGCATCAATGCTGCAAATTTTAGTTGGTTACTGGTTCTATCTACTGGGAGGTTAGAAATTTCTTTGAAAGTATTAATGCTTTAGGGTGTACCTTGAAAGAGGTTTCACCTCAGAAGTGCAGTCCCCACCCTTTGAGAAGCAGAGTAAGTGAGCCCAGAAAATTCCTCATAGTGTGGCTCAGTTGTTTCATTGGAGCTGACTACTGTTAAGGTATATACTATTATATAGTGTAGGAAATCAGGCATGGAAGGCAGGAGACCAGCATGGATGAGTTGAGACCTGCTGGCCAAACTAAAAGGCAAGATGGAACTGCATAGGCAGTGGAAGCAAGGACTGGTTTCCTGGGAAGAGTACAGGGATGTTGCCCGGGTGTCTAGGGAGGAGGCCAGGAAGACCAAGGTGCAGCTGGAGCTGAACTTGGCAAGGGATGCCAAGAAAAATAAGAAGGGCTTCTACAAGTATGTCAACCAGAAAAAGCAGGTTAAAGAAGGTGTCCCATCCCTGAAGAGTAACGGTGGTGAACTGGTAACAACATACAAAGAGAAGGCTGAGGTTCTCAACAACCTTTTTGCCTCAGTCTTCACTGGCAACCTCTCCTCTCACAGCTCTCGAGTAGATGGCCCACAAGACGGGGACCAGGCAGAAAAAGTCCCATCCACTCTAAGTAATGACAGGGTTGGTGACCGTCTGAGGAACCTGAACATACACAAGTCCATGGGTCCTGCTGAGATGCATTCCAGAGTTCTGAAGGAACTGGCTGATGCAGTTGCCAAGCCACTCTCCATGATATTTGACAAGTCATGGCTGGCCGGTGAAGTCTCCCATTTTTAAAAAGGGTAGAAAGGAGGACCCTGGGATCTACTGACCTGTCAGCCTCATGTCTGTACGTGGGAAGATCATGGAACAGATCCTCCTAGAAGCTATGCTGACACACATGGAGGACGGGGAGTTGATTTGAGACAGCCAGCATGGCTTTACTAGGGGCAAATCCTGCCTGATCAACCCAGTGGCTTTCTACAATGGTGTAACTACATCAGTCGACAAGGGAAGAGCTATGGATGTTATCTCTCTGGATTACTGTACGGTGTTTGACGGTGAGCCCAGGTGAACATCATGAGGATCAACAAGGTGAAGTGCAGGGTCCTGCACCTGGCTAGGGGCAATCCTCATTACCAATACAGGCTAGGAGATGAAGTGCTGGAAAGCAGCCCTGGGGAAAAAGACTTGGGGATACTTGTAGATGAGAAGCTGGACTTGAGCCACCAATGTGCAACTTCAACCCAGAAGGCCAACCTCATCTTGGTCTGCATGAAAAGAAGTGTGGCCAGCCGATCAAGGGAAGTTATTCTGCCCCCTACTCTGCTCTGGTGAGACCTCACCTGGAATACTGTGTCCAGCTTTAGAGTCCCTGACTCAAAAAGAACATTGAAGTGCTGAAGCATGTGCAGAGGAGGGCCACAAAGATGATCAAGGGCTGGAGCACCTCTCCTGTGAAGATAGGCTGAGACAGTTGGGGTTGTTCAGCCTGGAGAAGAGAAGGTGCCGGGGGGACCTTATAGTGACCTTTTAGTACATGAAAGTTGCCTATAAGAAATCTGGGGAAGAGCTGTTCGCTAGGGCATGTAGTGATGGGACAAGGGCTAATGGTTTTAAACTAGAAATGTGTAGATTTAGGTTGGATGTTAGGAAAAAGTTTATCAACATGAGTGTGATAGATTGGTGGAACAGGTTGCCCAGAGAGGTGACGGTGGCCCCATCCCTAGAGATATTCAAGATCAGGTTTGATGGGGCTCTGAGCAACCTGATGTAGTAACACTGACTCTGCTTACTGCAGGGGGGTTGCACCAGATGATCTTTAAAGGTCCTTTCCAACTCAATGCATTCTGTAACTCTATGATTCTATATACTACTCAATTTTCATTCTGTATACCAGGCAATACAGATTAGTATGCCAGTCGTGTACTAGTGTCTACATGGAAGAAGTAGGTGAAAGAATGATCTCTCAAACAGCCATGGTATTAGTGCTAGAGAGGGCAAACATAGAAGAATCAGTGTAGAAAATGTTTCAAGATCCATAGGACTGACTCACATATCATACACTGGATGATTGCAAATCTGTCAGTTTACTATTTCAGGTAGTATGTCTGAGAGAGGAGGCACACAGGTATCTTGCTTTTATTTTCACCCATTCTGACCAATGGGAGGTGGTGTTACGTCTGATTTTTTTTTAAATTTCATCTCTTCCTACATTTTACTGCAATAATATTTTTATAATCTAACAGGAATATAACAAAATAAATTAAGCTTTTTGCAGTCTAATTAATCTTATGCCATAGTGACATGGTGTTTTAGGAATTTATTTATATAATAGATGACACAGGAGATTGGATAAGACTGCT